CTTTTGTTTTAATCTGAGGCGTAACTACGTCAAAATAAGTCGGCAACGTGACTAATGTGAAGTAAGTCATTGACATCGATTCTTCTTCTGTAAAGTTATTTTATAGTTCGTTTTGCAACGCGTTTAGCTTGTCAGTAAAGCAAATGGTTCAAAATATGGAGGGTGGTAGTAAGTATTCGACAGACTCCAATTTTTTGTGACACGTAGGGCACCTTATTGTAAATATTTGCTTTTTTTTATTTATTCCACTAGAGAATACTATTCCATTAGTGAAGCTGAAATATTTACTCTAGGAATCTATCTCGATGGCGTTAATGGTGGCCTGGCCACTCACCATCCTACCGCTTGATCAAATAGGCTTGATCAAGTCAAACTGACCGTGTGTTGGGAGACATTTTGGAAGGACATGCCACTTGACGGGAGGATTTTGTCTTGATCAAGCTATTTGATTTAGCGGCATGATGTTGATTGACCACCATAAGTGGTTGGTTCTCGGGGACGAGTCCCTATTTATTTGTAAATCTCTATTTATCATCAAAGTTTATCTAAGCCTTCTTAAAAATATGATGGTGCTTTGTCATATCCCAATATAATGTTTTTCACGTAAAGGCAATAAAATTATGCTTTTACATGCTTCTACGCTATTACCGTCATATTTGTTTTAAAGCAAATGTATTACCGTCACATTTGTTTTAAAGCAAATGTTATTCGATTTACCTAAGCCTTTTGATAACGAAGTACCCACCTAATGATATATATTTCTTCGATGTATTGTACGCTGTTCTACCTTTTGTCTTGTCATCAATGGGAATTAGCATTTTTTATTAAATCTTTGTGGCTCTGCGACCCTGTAGGTATGTGCGTTACGTGATGTACTCGTAAATGCTTCAATAACAGAAAACTGTGTCATCGTTATTATTAGCTTGAATGTAATTGAAGATAATACTACGAGCTACTATAGTAATAGTGAAATTTTATGGGTTTGGCAATATGTTCAAGGGCGAGAACTTTTCCTCAATTTACTTCAAACAAAATCTATATAATCTTAGTGTTTATTTGGATTTCTTCATTTTCTGAATCCATTCGCGTAACTTCTTGTGCAATATTGTCAATAAGCGACACTTTTTAATATTGTAATGTGAAAGTTTCTCATAGCACCACGTTTTGGGAAGTACCTTCGGTTAAGTGGTTTTCTGAGAGTGACCAGAGATATTGTGTGTTTACTTCGATCATAAGTGCACTGGTTTGTTGAACATTTTTCAACATTTGAGGCTTTTCCGTTGTCAAGGTGTATTGATGAAATTTATTATTTATTCTATGTGTATTTGTCTTTCTGATGTTGCCGCACCTTTTATGCTTAGGTAAACCCATTTATTAAACTCACAAATATTTAGTGTGGATTAAAGGTTTAATCAATAGCTTAAAGCCCACTTGCAGGAAAGTTAAATCACGATTCAACTAAAACCAGATTGAACCTATAGAAAAATAACAAAACGCCATTCAATTTGACATTATTGTGTGGAATATTTCAAGTTTTAGTTAAGTTAAGATTTATCTAATTTACTGCAAGTTGACCTTAGTTGTTAAAGCTTTTTATAGCGCGTTATCTTAACCAGTTAAAATGTAAATTTGTAAATAGCAGACTGTTTATCTAAAAAAACAAAGCTTAATCGTCTTTTAAATATGAAGTAAACATCCTGTTAATGTCGTTATTAGAATGTTATGTTTCAACTTTCTTATTTATTTGGTTAATCATCTATGGTACGTTTTCAATCTCATCAAGTTTAAACTTTACGTGACATATCTGAGATCGATAGTTCGTTGTCTCATTTATTAATCTATTTATATCAGAATTGATATCGCCTTCAAATGTGACATCTGTTTCATCACTGTTAAACGATAACAGGGTAGCGTTTCGTTTCTTCATTTACACGTTCCACTTTGTTCAATGAACGGAGGTGAGCAATGTCAAATTGGTGGTATCTACCATAGATCGAGTTGGCGACCTTCACGCACTCCGGTTTTGAGATGAAGTTTTCCATGCATTGGCCATTAATTTTACTGACTGTAGTTTTCCACCATAATATTCTTTAAACGAGAGGCGGGCAGAAAGTCAAGCCCGATATCACATTGATATGACAAAATTTGTCGACCTCCGTGGCCGAGTGGTTTCCGGGTTTCATGGTGTTGCCTACACGAGAGATCTCGGGTTCGAATCCCTGTGGGGGCAGATGTTTGTGTGATGAACACGAGCATTTGTTCGAATCCCGGTGGGGACAGGTGTTTGCGATGACTACGAGCATTTGTACTCCAGTCATGGATGTTTAATATGTATTTCTATATAAATATACTTATATCTCTACACTATATGTATTCTATCCGTTAACCTAGCATCCCATAACACAAGCCTTACAGTGCTTACTTTGGGGCTAGGCTAATTGGTGTGAGTGTTGGAAATATTTATTTATTTATTTAAATGTACACATGGCTTTTTATATATTAATAGTTCATTCCCATATTTTATTTGTGAAAAATCTTTTCTTAGAAGCATGGACAGAGACAATACTCTTCACCCTCCTCTTACTACCATTCATAAATATATTTGCTTCATTGACATTGTTCAGTCGCTGCATATATGCATCTCGTGAGATTTTTGGAACTTTTATCGCCTTATTCCAATATGTGGTGTTAGTCTTGGTTTAAATCTAATGTTGTCTCTGTCTTATTTTTAGCAAACAAAAATAACAGCATGAGTTTTAGTCCAAATATAACTTTAGTCTACGTTTTGAAATAAGGCAATTAGCGTTTATTAATAACGATCTGGAGTTCTATTGTTATTGAAACTTCCAAGCTCCACTTTGACCAATCAATCTCTTTCGCTAGTTTTCTTTAGCTTACTGTCTCTTGGGTGAATTACTTGTTTATTGTATATGGTTAGATAGATAGACATAAACTCAAGCTTATTATGTGTACATCAGTTGATTTCATCATCTAGATCGGATACATTGATTTTTCTGAGTCTCTTATCGCCACAAAAGCGTGTAGAGCAGCGTGTGCTGCGATAAAAATAGCACTATCGAAAGTTATCGTGTAAGGTAAACATTGCTGCAGTTTGGCTTGTAGATAATAATTTGTGCATTGGCCGTTGCCTTGACATTGCAGTAAGGTGACTTGGAAAATAAGTTGCTTTACTATATCGTAGCTGTAGAGATCGAGGAGCTCTGTAGTCGCCGCAGGGCGTCCCTTGTCAGAGGTGGTTTATGTCGGCACACTGCTATTGGAATATCCTTTTACGGCGCGGGGTTCTGTTTGATTTGTGGCACCTATTTTATGTATACTCAATTTACGTACTTTTTTATTTTGTAAGCATTTCATTGGTTCTTAATGTTTATTAATAGGCAACAGACAACTATTTACAACGATACCTATCATAATTAGTGTATAATGTAAGAGCTGTGCATCATATACATGTTTGTAAGGTTAGATATGATAATTAAAGTATGGTTCGTGTTATTTTTCAGTATTATTGTAATTATTGTTGAAGAGAATTTTGGTAGATTACTGAAGAGTTAATACTTATGACTCCGTTAGTAAATTTTGTGCATGTACTTAATTGGTGCGTATTTTGTAATTTAAAATTTATCGCGACTTAATCGTAGTGTTAGTTTCAACAACTTGACGATTGCTTTGCACTTATCAGGTTTAATAAATCATTGAGCTCGACAGCATTTAGCAGCAGCTGGGAATTAATAAAAGCATTAGCTTAAATTTGATTTGCAAATGTAGTGCTGGTCATGCCGGCGATATTGTTAATGATACTATTAGAGACGTTTCGATAACTTCATTGGTGTACTAGGTAACATGATGAGGTAACGAGATGTTTAAGGTAAAACCTTATATAACAGTTGTCAAAAGTTTGGCAACAATCATCCCCCATCCATCAATCAACCCCATCATCAACAACCTATTAATATCCCCACTGCTAGGGCACAGACAGGCCTTCCCTATGGATGGAATAGAGAGACAGGACCATGATCCACTACGCGCACCCTATGCGGCTTGGTGGGTACCAATAACTGCAGATGGAGCCGGAACCAACGGCTTAATGTGCCTTCCGAAGCACGGAGGAGCTCGAGATAGTAAATTTTTGGTCACCCATCCAATGACCGACCACTGAGAAAGTTGCTTAACTGCAACGATCGCAGCCAAACGCACTATCCATTTGCGCCATCGAGCTCCGCTCTTCTCGAGTTTTGCTTAATAACTTTGTATTAAGATGGAAAATCTTTCGGATTGACCCAAGGCTTTGAATATGTTCTGCGTGCTTTGCCCTCAATGCCGCCTATTAAGGTAAAGTACTGACAGGTACACCACTAGCTATTAATTATCATTTAGTCGGTTCCACAGTCCTTGTAAAGCTGAAGTTGATTGGAACCTGATACTAGAGAATATGCATTGGTCACCGAATGGTAATTTTAATTGCAAATTATGTTGTAATTAAGACATTCCCTTTTAAATTTACCACAAGTCTTATTTATACTGGTTATGATCACAGCTTTAATGATCGGAGAATATCGAATATAAGTAAGTCCACAGATCTTTTATGTATCCTCCACATTTTTTTAAGGATATCATATAGGTTACAAATGTTTGCGTTGTTAAAGTTACGGTAATTTCAAATAATGCAATTTTGATGCTTATACGTTGTGGATTTCCTTCAAAATGTTGTCGATGTCATCTTGTGATTTGCCCCAGATTGAGGTCGATAGCTTAACCAGTTAATGACAAAGCATAGTGCGCCTACACTTTTTGGTTTCGTATAATATTTATTATGTAACGTCATTAAGAGTTTCTCTATTTTAAAAAAATCTGTTTCTCGTGGGACGATAATTTTACGTGATTTAATTACCGATTATGAGAGAATGGTGCAATAAAGTTTAGCCGTTCTTTTAACACCATCTTAGGAGTTTCGATGATTCAAATCTTTGGTTTCAGAAGTATATTTATATAGAAATACATATTACACAAAATCCATGACAGTTATTAAGAGCAAACTTTGGTTGGAAAATATTTTTCTGCATTCAAATATTAAATTGAGTAATGTTGATGAGACTCGTGTTAAGATTTGTCAATTCGGAATAACTTAAAGGTTTCGTTGATGAATATCTCTATTTTGTTGTGCTTATCTTGAGGAAGATCAATAACAGCAATGAATTTGCTAATAGATTTATTTACTTTTATTGTGAATTGAGAACAGGGTAACAATATTTTTTTTTGTTATTGAAAACTGTGCACATTTTCAATTTTTTTCATAAACATCATAATTATTTTATTATTACTATAAATAATCTTGATGACCTCATCCTTTTTAAGCCAATAGTTTTTTTTCTTGTATCTGTTTTAATTCTATAAACTTTTTTTATAGTGTAACTATTCATTGAGAAGAAATGATAGACATTTGGAGAGTATTTGGTATCCTTTTGACTAAAGGCCACTGCCATAAATAGATACCTCAGCGTAAGTATTATGTATAAAGTTTACATCTATTTCTACTTCGGACTATATTTTTTATAGTACCTGACGGCATTGTTTACACTTCGTAAAACGGAATAGCGGACAAAGTAAAATGTACCTTATAGCGTAGTGTTGTGTTTGAATTGGAGATTAATCTTGTGTACACAGTATCATCGACAACAGGTATCTTCTCACTTACCTTGACCGCGCGCGTTGTCCTCTCACTCGGCTATAGAGTGATCAATTCATAGACGTCTTCTTGCGCATGCTACGATCTATGACTTATGTCCTTTGATCAGGAACTTGTTTGCCCTCTCGTGTGAATTTTGTATCCGAATAGGTATGTGAGAATTGAACTTGTGATAGATATTTAAGTTTTACGTTTTAGATGATTTTATAGATTCGAATGAAACTATAACAGCTCTGTTATCATACAGGCCCCTTGTTTTATTCTTTCTAATGTTTCTTTGTGCGTGAAGAAGTCTAATCATAAATATTGCTATTGAAAATATTGGCTTTCTTTAACATTTTTAAAACTCGTCCTTAAAAAATTAACTTTTGTATATGTTTGTCTCTGACTCTAGCGACTTTTGTAAATGTACCCGTAGGTACTGAAGTCATTTTATCGACGATCAGAAAGTTTTTGTACCTCGCCAACTGTGGGGTGCCTTATCAGATTTCTGGCTACACCAGCGCTTTATTGAAATAAATATTCTTTTCATGGGTACCGTGTTGACAAGTTAGTTTATTCAATTTATGTCAATAGATTGTCCGACGTCGGCGTCATATGATTCATTGCCACTCAATCGCGGTATAAGATTAAATAAATCGTCATTTATTGTCCTCCATCGTGATCGTTAAAATTGCGTGCAGGGCAGACTTACAAAGAACCATCCGTTCGTCTTCAACTGTAATCATTGTCGTCTCGATGTGCACTTAAACTTTTTGCTTTGGCAAAGCTACTTTTGGATTGAGACAGTCAAGAAAGATATCTGTTTGCTCGGAATGCTTCGGCTAATGCGTATAAGCATCAGTGACTAACAGTGTTTAGCAGTCTGCTGATGGTTGACCCATTTACTTGCAAGATGTCGCAACCCTAATCATTTTCGGGCGATCTGTTTTAATGGTATGTTTTGAGCGTTATCAGCGGCGCAGCGATAGCGGTGTTCTGATAGGCCCCAACATTGCACAAGTCCGAGCTTATCTCGGAATGCATTCGGCGGAGCGCGTTTATCGGCATTTGTGAAAAAAAATGTTCTAAAATGCAGTCACCCCTCATTTGGTTTATCTGCGGTAATTAATATATTGCAGTGTGCAATAGTTTAGTGGAGTCGTACGGTAGTGCAGCAAGCAGTGCGCCGCCGGCCGGTGTCGGCAGTGGTCATCGGCCCCGCTCTGGTGAGTTGCGCAAGTCCAGTTAACCGTATGATTCGCTCACATTAATATTCTACGGTTGCTGTTATTGCGAACTTTGTGTCTGCGTCCTTTACGGTCGTCGATATTATTTGCGACTCTCAACTAATAGCTACCATTAAATTAACTATTTGAAACTTTCATGTCAATACATTTTGAAATTACTCTCGTAAACTTAATCTCCCTTTTATTTGTCGTTATACGGGCAGTGCACCCGCATGGAATTTGATAGATTTATAGAGTTAGTTGGTAAGGAGATAAATAAGTACTTATTCAGAAATTAACTGACAGTATGTCACCTTCACCTAGATTAAGTTTATCAAGTTATAGGGGATTTCGAACTTTGCTTACGGTATTGTTTCATAAAAGTTCTTTATTTCAGGATTTATGGGAATATCTACAACGAACCCAATACACTTTCCTTTCCTCAACCCTCAACATTCGTCATTCTCTTTATTTTATTAAGTTTCTTCGCATTTTATATAAAAATAAAGTTTATTTACATTTAAATAATGTATGTAGGTGCCATTTTGTTCGATAACTTTTTGCCATCTTGTAGGTAGGGACATCAAACCGCATCATGCGGTTTTGGCAGTCCTCTCATGATATCTGACACTGCCTAAAGAATTCTGAAGAGACCGAAACAGGTGGAAATCTGAAAGTGCAAGGTCAGGACTATACGGCGGATGCATTAACACCTCCAAGTCAAACTCTCTTAATGTTTGCTGAGTGGCTAAAGATGTGTGATGTCTAGCGTTATCATGATGAAAAAGCACACCCCTTCTGTTGATTAATTCTGGTCTCTTTCTCTAACCTTCTTGCTTTAATCTCATCAGTTGTTCGCAGTAGAGTTCAGAATCGATGGTCCTGTCTGGCGGTAGCAGTTTATAATGAATAAAGCCCTTCCAATCCCACCACACACACAGCATCACCTTGTTGCGGGTTAACACGGGTTTCGCCAGTCCGTGAAGTCTGACCGGCCTTTGACCACCGCACGTTCTTGTCTTACGTGATCCACTTTTCATCACCAGCTATCAGCTTTTTCAAAAAGGTTCGGTTTCATTACGGCGTAATAAAGAATCACAAATGAGGACACGGTTCATTAGGTTTCTTTCAGTGAGCTCGTGAGGCGCTCAAATATAGAGCTTTTTTGTGTACCCAGCTTTTTTCAAATGGGCCAAAACTGTTTTGTGGTCAATTCCTAATTCTTCAGCTACGTCGTTACTACAGATATGCCGATCTTACTCCACTTTTTAAAAAATGACATCTATTTTATATCCGTAACAGGGCGACCAGAGCGACGTGCATTTTTGATATTAAAATTTCCGGATTTAAAATGCTTAAACCAGTGCTACTCTCACAGACACTACACTAGGTCCATAAATATTACAATTTTTTTTCGCAGCTTGCGTTGCATTTTTCCCTTTTTTGTAGGAAAAATATTATGTTCAAAGTGTTTGATTCATTAGATTCACTCATCTTGACAGTAAGAAAAATAAATGCAAATCACACATTTTTCTAATTTGAATTATCTTCTTTAAAATTTAAACTTTTTAATGATACCAAAATCAGCCAGATACAAATAGCCAAAGAGATTTTATTACAAAATCACGCCAACCAACTCCTCCTGGCCGGCCTGCACAAATGCTTCTTCACACCTCTTATAAAGCACCCCATTTATGTTAGCTTTATTGGGGGAAATTTTTAATATTTATGATCTGGTATATCGTCATCAGTTTTCTTAGAACTCTATAAACATTTTGTAAGTTCTTCCTTAACATCATCATTAGTATTTTTTCTTATAACTTCGAGGAAGTTTGTCAATCGATTATAAAAAAATCGGACAAGTGCGAGTCGGGCTCACCCATCAAGGGTTCCGTACAAATTTGTAGGTATGCAACATTTACGGTCGTTCCTTTTTTTACGGTAACTTAGAATTTAATTTTTTCACAGCTTGATGAGACCGCAGATTTCAGTATATGCTTTAAATTTTAACTCAATACCTCCACGCGCGAGACGAGATAAAGAGTCTTGACAGTCAGACAGAAAAACGGCCGTATCTTTTCTTTTAAGTTGACTTAGAAGTTTAATTTTTCACAACTTCAAGGGTCCGGCGCGACTTGAAGTTAAAGTTTTAACGGTTTAAGTTTCAACTCGATATATCCACGCGTTTCTGAGATAAAGAGTCTTGACAGACAGATGGACAGACGGACGGACGGACAGTAAAGTGATCTTATAAGAGTTCCGTACCTCAAAAGGAAAAAACGGAACCCTTGTAGGATCACTTTGGTCTCAGTCTGTTTGCCAAGTCCCTATATCTCGGAAAAGAATGGATTTCCAAAATTCACCGAGGAAGAGTTTGAAATATGGAATGAAAGTTTGTATGAAAAATCATAATTCTTGAGTTAATAGATTTGAAGCTTGGTACGGATTCTTAAATTATGAAGTTTGTAGTTTACCTAAACTACCTACTAAAAGGGGATTAGTGTCGAAGTTTTTATATAAATGAATTTAACTCGGAGAGTTCATCTCGTTTTTGAAATTCTTCCCCTGAGGGGTAAAAAATGGATGAAAGTTTGTATGAAAAAGTATTCCTTGGTTTTTATACTTGAAACTTGGCCCAAATTCTTTACTAAAGAAACTATAAAGTTTTTCCGAAACTACCCCTAAATAGGGATTGAGGGAGGTTTAATATGGATGAATTTAAAAGCGCGGTTCGATAACTCGAAAGTCAGTATCTAGACTAGAAATGTTACTAATATCATAAATGTGAAGTTTGTATGTTCGTGTGTTTGCGTCTCAATCACGCAAAAAAATACTACTGAATGCATTAAGATGAAATTTAGTATACGTATAGTTTAGGACCTGGGTTGAAACATATAAATTTTTTTTTATCCCGTAAAATGTCAGATTCCTGTGGGATTCTCAAAAAACTAAAGTTAAGGCGGACGTAGCCGCAGGCGTACGCTAGTGATTTATAAATATGGAAATATTTTCATTTTACCTGTAATCCTCGACATTCAGATTCGACACGTTCGAGCGTTACAAAGTGTGTGAAATGTGTAGATCAGTCTCCAAAAAAACTTCTCGGGGAACAAAGACATTCCGTAGTGTCGAGACGAGAGGGATTCTTCGGAGGAGGGCGTCGCGCAGACGGTTTTCATCGTGTGTAAATGTGTGCCTCAGAAAAAACGGATAGACGGCCAATAAAAACCCCGTGTGGGGAGAAGCCGAGGGGCGGGCGAAGCGGGTGCATTGCGCCGCGCCAGTAATCGTGCGGTGCAGTCTCCGCGCGCCGAGCTGGGTGCGCGCACGCAGCCTCCGACCACCCTCGCCTCGAGTGCTCTTACGATACGCAATCACGGGTGAACGACTCCCCGAAAAAGTATGCGCACGACTCGCAATTCGCATACTTATATTGCCCCTATTTATTCGCGAACGAGTCAATCACGTTCGGTTACGTGCCGGTTCCGTTATCCGGAAGCGTTGAAGTCGCCAAAGCTCGCGTGAGCACGCTCTACGCTCTGCCGATCGTCGAGGATAGGGGGTTGTAGATACGATTGCATTAGTTGCGTCTGCGTTATGACGTGAGTCCTCTCAATAGTTTTGTGTAATCCATTTGTTGTGAAGTATTAAGCGTTGCTTTGTGTTGTTGCAGGGCGAGTGCAGTCGTCAAAGTCTCTGCGGCAGGCGAGGCGGGTCCTGCGGGCCCCACGGCCGAGGACGCCGCTATGAAAGGTGTCGAAGCGACGCCCGAAGAACAAGAACGGTTGGCCACCGGGAACAACAATGGTTCGCTCGATTGCAAGATACCGCCGGCGCAGGCGGTCGGCCCCCGTTCCGCCTTCCATTCCACACGAGTGTTCATGCTCGTGTTCCTGTCGGGCTGGGTCCTGCAGGGCATGTTCCTCACATATTTCGTGAGCGTGACGACGACGATCGAGAAGCTGTTCAAGGTCGAGTCTAAGACGACGGGCATGTTGCTCGCGGCCACAGAGATTGGACAGATATGCACGGCGTTGTTCCTTACGTACCTGGCGGGTCGCGGGCACCGGCCGCGGTGGATCGCGTGCATGATGCTGGTGCTATCAGTGGGAGTGATCGGCTGTGTGTTGCCGCACGTGCTGTACGGCACGCGCCTCCTAGACGTGCATTTAGTCGCGCACAGAGGCGGCGCCGCTCCCGTCTGCCACACAGACGGCACCAACGCCTCCTACTGCGACCCCCACCAGATGAACAGCACCAAAGACCGCTCCTCGATCACGGCAGTCGTCATCCCTTGGCTCTTCATCTGCTTGCTGGTGGTGGGCGTAGGACAGACAGGCATTGCCACACTTGGGATACCATACGTCGATGACAACGTTGGAAGCAGACAATCGCCTCTTTACATGGGTGAGTCTTATTTACTAGATAGAGATACTAAAAAAGTAAAAGTTTACTCTTCATTCTCTTGCTATTATATTGCACAAACATAAAGGATACCAATTAAAATGGCTTATAAAGTACTTTAAGTGAACGATGAAAAGATAGTGGTTAATGAAATCGAATAGGTTCTTTAATTATCACTGCAACACAAACCATTAAGTCTGTTATGTCTTAAATTGTTCTTTCGTTTATTTTTCATCGTTTGTTAATGAGTTGTTGTGTGCAATAAATTCGGCGCATAAAAGTGAATAAATCACATTCGACGCCCACCACGCCGCCTACTGAGTATTCTGCCGGACGCTCCCCGATCGCTTGCATAATTTATGATCGAGTTCCATACTGAATACGGTCTCACTAAGTGCAATGTTAATGCAACATTTTCGTACTACACTATGTTTACTCGAAACCCGCTTTACCGTAGAAAGTGAACAGTGCCGTAGACCCATTTCGGTGGCAGCTCATCACTGGTGAAATCGAAGACCTTGCGTGCACGATGTTTCGAGTAATAAATAATTTGAAAACGCTGGTGCAGCTTCGAACAGGTTTTGATTAAGGCAAGCTGAAGGCAGTTGAGGAAAATAACAAAAGTTAACAATACCTGTTTGGGTGCGCAGCTTAAAAAAGGATAGAGTTACGTTTGTTGTGGCTGCGTTGTACATACTTATCTAATGCGGCGGGCGTGCTTGCCGTCTCACTAGTCACGCCATCTAATTATAAAAAACGGCCAAGTGACAGTCTGTCTCGCACACGAAGGGTCCTGTACAAACAAACCGCGAAAGGAAAAATCATTTATGATTATATTTATTTTTAAGCATTTAACTGCTATATGTTTAAATCTAAAGAAAAGTTTTACTAGAAAATAAAAAACCACGCGGACCAGGCAGCGGACGAGACTCGAACCCGTACCCTTCGCAATCCGGGCGAACGCACTGACCAATTATGCTACCACGGCCCTGATAGCCGCGTCGAAATTTTCCTAGCCTTAAGCTGCAAGGCAGCGCCATCTCTTCACATTGTAGAAGTTTTTGTCAGTTTTTGTCACAACTTACAAAGTACATTATGAATCGCCGTTTTCAGCATTTGTTGATTAAAAACAGGATATGGGACATCATTTACTAAAATTTTACATTCTTAACTAATTTCGTTATTAAGATAGACCCTGAACAGAATGGTTTAAAAATAGCAACTTTAATGGACCCCCATTTCTTGATCATTGTAAATATTTTTTTTTATATTCTCCCGAACGACCTCCAGACAATGACGTGACACATGCTGGGGTAAAAATATAGAAATTTAATAAGAAATCTTCAGTTTCTCCCGGTCAAAGATGACGTGGTTGGTTTTATGTATTACTAGAATATGAGATCGCAGTTGGCAGTATATAAATTGAAGTGCCATAAAAATCGGGTCCATTACACGCCGTAAGTGCTGTGTGAAATTGCATTGTGTGCGTATGCGCCGTCCACCGTTCACGTCGCAAATAAAGCAGCCGAATAACCCCACGGTGTCGATTTAAACGAGAACGAGTATGTGCACTGTAAATGGAATAACAATTTATTCAATGTTCGAGCAACATTGATTTACAAGCTGGGTGTTTGGTCGGAAAAAATAAGCAACATTCTACAACCAACTGAGACCACTTTACTTATCGGGACTAGGGTTACCATCCGTCCGGATTTGTCCGGACATGTCAGGACTCTTTACCTTTTGTCCGGACTTTGCCCGGATGTTTAAAAATTAGATGTTATATGAGTTAAACTACTTATTAAGTTATATCATATAAGTCAAATAATATTTATTAAGTTCACATTCATTTAAAACAAAACATAAATTATCTTTAAAAATCAACAACGTCTGCTACCACGCGTATAATATCGATGTGTGCATTTTGTGACTAAAATGTCCGGACTTTTATCGAAATGTCCGCCTTCTTGTCAGGATTTTTCAAAATTACCCTAATCGGGACTGGAGTTTACAACAGATAGTCGCTTATTGCTTTAACAGCGTTCTCTATACTAACCTTTGCAATAACAGGATTAGGGTCTAGCGAAAGTGATGGTGACTTTGTTGACAGGGTGTAGAAAATTGGTAGGACTTGTGAGACACATATTATTCCGTCATAATCTATCCTATTCGTTGACGTTAATAAGATAAAGCATTAGCTATATGTTACTTTTCTGACAAAAATATATAAGTATTCATAAGTCAAATTCAACATTTTTTTCTGTGCGTGTTTAGATTAAATGTTTTGGAGCTCCACGGGTTAGGGTTAGGCTTGCCAGATGGCCGGGAAATCCGGAATTGTCCCGGAATTTTACGTGTTGTCCCGTGTCCAGTAATTAGGCCTTATTGTCCCGGATTCCGATAGTGTGCTAGTTTCGTAACAAAATTAACTAATAACAAATAACACCGCTGGCCTGCTTGATATTTTAATTTTGGGTGATGGGGGGTTTGATTTGATGCTTTACTTTTTCAGGGGGAGGGGGTGCAAATGTCCACGAATTGATAAGCCAGAATCTGGCAACCCTAGTTAGGGTATAGGGTTCTGATAGGCTGCACGTGTGATACACACTGCGGTATCACAAGATTTTGGCACTGTTTCTTAAACTTAAAAAGTACGAAAAACTTTCAGAATTAAAAAAAAACACGAGCAGCCAAAGAGTGTTTCAGGAATAGAAAACAATTCATAATATTTAAAAATTACTTTATTTAAACTTACTAATTAATAGTTTAAATGAGCTGCTACATAATCCTGAGGAAAGTAGCAACCCGTTTATAATAAAACCTTATTGAATATATAATTATGTTTTCAGAAAGCAATTACTTAGTGACAATCATATTTTTTTTCAGGAAATACTTACCAGGTCGATTCATGGCCTACTGTCCATCAAATGTCATGGTAATGACAGAAATAAAGTATATTAATTAATCTTTTTGGTTCTCATTTTTACAATGATTACTTCATATTATTGTATTTAAAAAAAAAGGTAATTTTAAGCTTTATTACGTCGCACCTTTAGTTCTAAGAGCAGTGAACCCGTTTGGTGCTATAATAAAATAATGGTTCTGTCTGTCATACATAACAGTTCATAAATAACAACAAACTTGCTTCAAAACAGAACTAGTTGATTTTAAATACCTAGTACCTACCTATACTCTGTATCTAGTCTCAAACATCAATTTTAGGTTATTTTCAGAGTCGGTTATTAATAAATATGTTCGCTGACGGACTCATGCTTTAAAACCGCTTTTGAAAGATTCTAAAATAGTTACCTTATTGCCACCATTAAAACATCCAATGTCATAATAAAAAAAAATATATCACCTAAACGGGTGTTATAATGGTTTTCTTTTAATAAATTTAAAAATATAACACTCATTCGCTTTTTAAATGCGCGCCAAGGGCTTTTTCTTCAGGCAGCCACAATTTCCACCGCTGGATGCGTTTTATTATGAATTTCAAAAAAAGAATATTGTCATTCAGGCGCACTTCACTACCACTGTGCCGAAACTTTTCTTTTCATGAATTTTAATTTCCTAGAACGCCCCATGTTAATATTCATCTAACTATACAATTAATATTTGCATTTGAAATGGTTGAATAGGCATAAGTATAAAAAACTTTGTATGACCAACGTATCAAATAAATCATTTCATTCCATTTCATGGTTTCAGAGTCTTTTATAGAGGATTTATATCACGGGTGTAGAAAAAGTTTTGTATGCAACTGTTATAATTAGGTACTAAAGTAGCCTTCTGATACGGAGAGGTATAATAAGGGATTTTAAAACACGTATGTGGGTGATGATACTCGTAGTATCTCACTCATGTGATACTACGAGTATCATCACCCATATACGTGTTTTAAAATCCCTTGTTATACCTCTCCGTATCAGAAGGCTAATTTAGTACAAAAGTTGTATGAATAACAATTTTTATATATATGTACATTTAATTATAACACTCTTTACTTTTTTTAAATCTCTTCCGCGCCAAAAGCTTGCTCATCAGACAGCCACCATTTTCAGTGCTGGATGCGTGGTATTATGAATTTCAAAAAAAGAACATTAGCATTTACGCGCGCTTAACTTCCATAGCGCCTAAACTTTTCATGAATTGTAAGTTCTTAGAACACCTCATGATTTTAGAATCTTTTATAGTTTATAGAGCATACGACCAATTCAAAAAAAATCCTCGGCTATTCACCACGCGGGGTCTTGGGGTAAAACGCCTAACGACCTTCATTATGCAACAGTTGCATAAATAACTATTGTTTTCTATCTTTTTTATTTTAAGGTGCGAATAATTTAAAAATTAAATCTCTATCGTGACTCTTTAAAGGTAGAGTGTAAAGAGTGTTGCTTGTAGTAAAGGACTTATGTATTTTGTACGCCAAATGATAAAGTATAGCACTATGAATCAATGCCAAAGGAACACTAAATACATGAGACTCGGAAGTACTTTTTTTTAAGTACTTAGATTTAAAAAGAAACTCATTTTGGACACATTATGGATAAAATCGTCCAATACATTTAAATTGGTTCTACACACTTGTGTTCTTTTACATCTCTGGATATATTAAAATTTTCGTTTATATCTCTATTTCGTACCTATTTCTGGACAATTAAAATGGAACTAGATGAACTTTGATTTCTGTAAGCTATTTCAGTAGTATGTAGTTATTTCAGTGTGCTTCCCTCTTAAATCAGTATTTATAACTAATTAATTATTAAAAGTTTCTAATTACCTTGGTAGGTATCTGAAAGGGAATGCATCGCAACAATTGACGCATTAGTTATTACAGTATGTTTTCGTCTACATTAAATATTTTTGGCTATATGTCTATCGAGTTAGGGAAAGCACCGTGAAAAGTCAATACAGTATTGGATGCAGTAGTTAATTTCAGCGCCCGGCGCGCGCGCAACTGTGTCAGTGGGGCGGGACGTCTCGGAGTTACAATTTCAGCT